AACAGGCAAAGTAATTTTCATTTTAAGATTAAGAATACTTTTACGCATCAGAAAATTTTCTAATTTCACATACAAAATCTTTATATTGAGATAGTTATCAAATGTTTTTTAAGAAAAAAAACTTTATATTTTATCTGTTATTTTCACTAATGAATATCTGTACAGGTTCGGTAGATTTGACCGATCTTGTAACCACCGTAAAAAAATTAGGAAATAAATATAAATTATTCCTCTTTCATTCTAGAGTGACAACAAATTATAACACAAAAACATAACTGTTTAGGCTAAATAGCTTAAATCTCATAACATTATACATTTATATATATTTATTATTTATATTATGTTGATCTTTCAACTGTGCCTGCTAGTAATACAGAAGTTACAATGACACGGCACATGTGCTCTCATGTTACCATATCAAATATTATAAAACTGCCCTTTAGTCTTTACAAAGTGACCTATCTTAGCTTTGTTTTAGTGGACTAGTATTTTGTAAAATACAGTCACATTTCCATTATTATATATGTATACAGATTATTACTATTTATTACTATTATTTAAATAATCTCTTAAACTTATTTTTCTTAAAACATAGAACAGTAAATAACGAAGTAAAGCAAACAATTATCTCTTCTAGTTACGACCTTTGTACTATATTGCTGCTTGAAGTAGACTGATAAGTCTTTTAAAATTTTGCATGTGGAGGATATGAAAAGAAATTATGTTTTTAGGTTTTAAATATATACTGTTGAATAACCAAAAAATCCAATATTACTCTATCAATACCACAGAATTTCACTATAATTTATCAAGCTCAATAACTAAGCTGTATAAAAAAATATGAAATTTTGAGCAGACTAAAAACAACCTACCTCCTTGAAATCTTAGTTCAAAAGAAAGAGATAGTGTCCTAATAACTTAAAATGGCTAAGAAAGCCACTAGGGGGACATTCTGAGCTTTTGATTGGTTATTCATATCATCTATAGAAGTAAGTGTATATAAGGGAGCATTTCCATTTTTGGTCTATCAGTGTACCAAATTTCAAAAACTCCATAAAAGTTAAGCATGTTTTTCTATCAAATAAAGTTTCCATACTTTCAGTACAGGAAAAAAAAAAGGAAAAAATTCAATTAAAATTTAATAATTTATATCTCATACATTTCTTAATGGATTGCCTTGAAATTTGGTTTGTGAAGTAAGTTTCCAGTAGAGCATATCCACTAAAAATATGTGATAGTTTGGATTACCATAGTGTGAGCTATAAAAGGTGGAAAATTGCTAAACTATCACTTCTGTAAATAACACACAGAGTCTTGCAGGTTGTTTTGGCTGCACGACACACTACCATGTGTTTTGATCAGGCCTTAGAACACTGTTTAATTTTATTGTCTTTCTCGCTTACATGTAAAATGTACACGTGGCTTTCTAATAACTTGAAACAAGTGTCTTTCTTTGATGACAATCTTTAAGGTAAAATATAATAGTTCTGATTTGAATTAAGAACAAACTTAATTTTTTGTGTTAAGATGGGAAATATGATAACAGATATTATCTTACCTCTGATTTTAGGCCGAACAAACTGTACCCATGAATTGTAAAGAAATATGAAAAGACCAACCACAGCAACAAAAGTATAAAAATGTCTGCAGCAAAATACCATTACCCTGGAAAAAGAAAACATGATAAATTTATCATAACATGATTTCATCTTCAATTCCTTGCCATATACTTAAGGTAAAACTTAATACAAAAATATTCATTTATCAAAAATTTATTACTTTTTCTCACTTTCAATAACAGAGAAACAGCAAGATTATGTTACATGCTTATTTTATGAAAACATTTCATTCCTCACATATATTTAATAAAACTAATGGAAGAAACACAACATGAAATCAAACTTTTTCTTTACCAAATACAGTGAGCTTGCATATAACATGCTATGCAAAAAATCCAAGGCAGACAAATAGCTTCTTTTAAAATGGTAGTTTTTAAACATATGAGTGGTTTATGAAAACATTAAATTACTTAGAAGAAACTGACCATACTTAAGATGGGTTTGATTCATGCATTCAAATGTGAAAAAAGTAAATATTCTGTATATAAAAAGCCAGTTTTCTGAAAGAAAAAAAGCTACAAGGTGTGGCTGAAATGTTAACTGATCACTGTTACAATCCTTGCCATCCTATGTACAGTTTATTCCACCCCACCTCCCATTAAAAAATAATAATAATCACCCTTCACACATTCAATATGAGGAACGGTGTGTCTGTACCATTAGCTTGAGTTCTTTCAAAAGCTTAGGTAGACCAGATTACGAACAGAAACAAGGTACATTTAATTCCATGTTTTTCACAGTGTGGTAGTTTCATATAGCAAGCACTGTCATAACAACTCATTTCCTTATCATCAAAGTGCAAATACTCTGCTTAACAATTTAAAAAGGAAGTATCTATTCATATTTATGATTGAAGAAGAAATTGGAATATACTACTTATTAAAACAAATATTCTTATATAGTTACAACCAATATAAAAAGAATAGTCATCCCACCCTTTAAAAACACCTGTGCAGATGAATTACCTTATTTGTCATCTGATTTGAAAACAAAATGTATTAAGCAAATAAAACTTTACAAAATTTCTAAACTTGCAAGTGAATGTTGTTAATTATTCAAATAATCAAAGCAATAATCAGAAGAATAATTAATAAGACTGATAATCATTTTCTAGTGGCTTATCCTGGACATCAGTAATTGCACTACCCATCTCCTAGTAGTTTCATGATGTCATCTTCTGAAGATGCTTGTTTTTTACAGAGTTAACTTTTGTGAACAAGATTACACCTCATCCAATCATCTTCACACATGGCTGCACACATTTAGAATACCAACTGCTTTAAACCACAGCTGAAATAACAGCAATCAAGGTACAAAATGACTGTTGAAATCAAAATGTGTCAACATGAGGATGTATAGACCTATTTAAGAATATATTTTAGCACTATAAATGTTAAGTTCACAAATGGTGTCTTAACTTTGTGTTAAAATCCAAAAATTTAAGTTTATGTAATTAGGAGCAAGATGTGACATACTGCTGGCTGAGCTTAGTATGAACCAAAAAAGAAAGCTGCCCAAATTAAGCAAGCCTCTAAATTTTACCACTACTGCAGATAGGCTGATATTTACTCTTGCTTTTAACAAACATCAACCAGATGACTCTAGAAAAATGAAAAGATAGTGAATTTTAAAGGGTGTCAGTGTGAACCTCAGAAAACAAAGCTGTATCAATTAACTTTTAAGGTAACAAGAATACAAACAAACTGAATGTAGAGACTAAATTACAACATGTACATATATTTCCATGCAATAGACCAAGAAAAATCCTGAATGATTTAAATAACAGCAAAACTTTGAAAATGGAATCCTAATTCACTGAACAATGGCTAAAATTATGTAAGATTATGAAAATATGTGAATTCACACATAAGCCATCCTGGCTTCTATAAAAAAAAAAAAAGTTAAAGATGTTCCTGGTGGAGGAAAGGAGCCAGACAAAGATCTGTGAGATAAGACGGAAGCAAACATACCTGTGCAAGAAGGGAGTTCCTCCCCAACAAATCCCAATAACAAAGTAACCAAGTCAGAAGGGAAAGGCCAAGAAAGAAAATGCACCAATGTAGAAAAGATAAGAGAATGAGTACCTTCCAAAACCCCACAGAAGCATGGTGGATTGCTTTGAAAGGAAGGGGAAATAATACAACAGGGTAAAAAGACGAAAGTAAGACAAAAGCCTGAATTTTGAACCTTGAAACATCGAAAAGAAGTTAAAGGATCTAACCCCCCCAAGCCACAGTTTGGGAGTCCAAAAAAAGGAATACAGCATGATGTTAAGCCAAGGCATAAATGGAAACCATGCAAGTAGGAAGAGGCATGCTTGCACCAGAGAGAAGTTGAGATAAAAACTGTTCAATATAGATATATAATCTGGAGATAGAGGAAACATAAAAGTAAGAAGCGGAGGCCGATTTAAAAATGAAGGAAAAGAATCATACAAGACAGGAGAGTAAAAGAGAGAAGGTAACATACCCGAGAAACTATGTCAAGAAATTAAGAAAAAGGTCTAGGTAGATCCAGGACAGAATTGGTAGAAGATTTGGCAAATGTAGGTGGTGGGAGTAGATTGTCAAAATTCCCTTTGTCATGAATAGGATTACAGGAGGAGGTACATCAGGTTCAGAAAGTCCAGGCCACATGAAAAACTGCAACTCCCTTTGCACAAAAGCTATCACTTCCTCAACAGACAAAGAGGAACCCAACACAATTTTAACATTTTGTCTAGTAAGAACAACATCTTGTTGTCCCACAAGGCAAAATGGAAGTTACCATCATTTATGACTTTATGATATGGAAATAAAAGGCCACAAAATCTGCAGGTACAGAAATGTTTAACAACTAAAATCAAAATTTAATACTTCCATAACAAATACCAATATAACAAAAGCTTATGCACAAAAATAAACAAAACATCTTTACACAGCAGTGCCAAATCGAGAAGTGATGATTCAACAATCAATAAAGGAGGAATTAGATGCACTAGGAGGGTGTGTGACACTCCTATTAATAGAGGGATGCCACATGCTCACTTACATGCAACAATATGATGTAGAAACACAAGTTTGGGTGAGAGCCTCAAGGCATTTGGTGAGCAAAAAAGTTCATGTATAGAAAGCAGCACTGATTTGGGAAAACTATATGTGAGAGAGGTATCACATATTAGAAATCAGACCCTTACTCGATCCCAGAAGTAACACCAACCTCTGTTTACTTCATGCACTATAAAATCAATGTTTTTAAAAATATCATCAAAATTTAACTTTCTAATGTAAATAAAAAACAACAACAATATTTCAAAATTAAATAAATTCTCAAGGTCAGTAACAATATCTAGCAATAATTTTAACTATACCTTATGAAATAACTCATTTTTAAGATCAAGGAAGGCTTTTTATTTAGTGGTTAGACCACGATGTTAAACCATGTGACTAGCTATTAAAATAAATTAAATAAAAGTAAATAAAACTAGCTATAAATCTACATAACCTTCCACGACATTAATATCTATGTCATTACTAGGGAAAGCTTGTGTAAATTTCATAATACATACACACATACTAAAAATCAGTGTGCTCTAACTAGAAGGTGAGTTAGCCCTTAATATAACTAAAAATTCATAGCTGAACTAAACAACAGAAGGAATAATAAATTAACAGTAAACAAAACCATAAAATAAAAGTAGAATTTGCTATCTCACATTACTTAACCTTTTATTCTGTACATTAACTAGTCTAGAAACCTGGCCACAAATCATTTAACACGATTAATGAACCAAGAAAGTTTTTACAAATTATGTAAACAATTACTTATTAAATGCCACCTTTGAAGATGACACTAGATTCCTTGCTTAGAAATAAAATCAAACTAGTAGACCAACAATTCACCAATCCTCTCTTTATTTTCTTTTTTTATAAAACAGAGTTATGCTTTTTTTGTCTTGTAAGAGAACAAAAACACCAAAACATTTTATCGTCAGTAGTAAAAAAAAGGGACTTTCAAGAATCAAGAACCATCCTTTTTTTAGGTCTAATCATTATAAATTACTGTGGTATCTACAAAATTGCAAAAATATAAAAAAGTTCCCACCAAATCATTATTCAATTTAGGGAAATTCTCATCATAACCAAAGGCATTAATAATCTTAAGTTTTCCTCAATACCTGTCTCTTCAATATGAATAAGATTTAAAGTTTTCTGTTATCTACATGTTATTTTAATCCTTAAACAAATGCACTAACAATCAATTTGTATTATAACTGATGCGAGTCAGTGTTTTTCTGTTACAACAAATTACAGTGCATGTATAGTTTTGGAGCAATGTAAAAGTTGTTATATGTTTATCTAAAAGGTAAATGTACTGATTCAGTAAGATCCAATCAACAGTTACCGTATTTTCTTATCACTGATGGGAAGTTGTCAAAATACTGAAAAACATTACACACAAAACAGGGAAATATATGTAACAAACATTTCAAATAGGTCAAGTATACAAAATTTAAACAAAATATTAAATTCATCAAATAAGACAGTATATTCTTGACACTCCATCCTGCAACTGTTTAGTTATGTAAGAATTACAAAAGAAAAACCTACATGAAAAAGTGTCACTTGACCCATGAAGGTCACCTCTCATCGAAATACAAATTAATTTCTGCTCCACTTAAAATTTGTGAACAATTTTAAATAAAGCTTTTCACATTCTTATGCATATACCCTCCATGAGAATTTTAAGACTTCAAACCAATACATACAACATATGTATATATAGTATTTGTGTATATGCTAACTGTCTATAGTGATCCAACACACATTTGAAAATATTATGAGCATTTATTTTTGGATAACAAAAACAAATACATTACATATTCAAATTTGTTCAACTTAACTGATTAGTGCCAGAACCCATGAAAATAATTAACTAATTAAAATGTTTCCAATTATTAATTTTTTTATTATTATTCCAACTATCTAAGTCTCATTTGAGAATAATCACAAAGTTGAAACTTGAATGTAATCAATAAATAAGCCCACCTCTATTAGACAGATTATTGCAAAAAAATTGCCTTCAGTGAACTTTGCAGTATGAAAATCAACAAATCAGACAAGTTATAATAGGTACATCACAGCCAGTCAACCAGCTTTAGCACCAACAGTTAATTATTCCATAATTCTATACATAAATACTGGCATTATTATATTTTATCTATTTTTGCACCTATTATTTTATTACAGATCATTTTGCTTTGAAAATATTATACTCATGGTTTATTTCCATCATTCGGTTTCTGATAGCTTTAAGCATTAAAAATTTCAAGCAAACACTTTTATTTGTCAAGTAATTTATAAAACATGCAATTTTTAACAAAGTGCATACCTGTTTATACACTATACTTTGTTTTTGATCACAGCTTGTAAGATAATGCAAGTAAAAAATGAGGGTTCCTTACAACTGCTTACTATTTTGTGTTGATGAATGAAGTTATATATAAAAATGTGTTAGAACTAGCATTATTACTACTATCAATACCTATTAAGTTTTACGTTTATTTTTTTAACACTAACTGTCCAAGCTTTCAATTTCAATTTTACAATGTTACACCTATGCCAAATTGCTAACTTTTAATGTTTATACATTGTAATTGAAATTTAATAAGGCTTTTAAACTTTTTAAGATTAAAAGAAAATCCTCATTTACTGTTATACTGTCATGTAAAACTTCATATCAATACTATACATACCTATTACTTATCCTACTTCTAAGTTCTAGTTCTACACAAAGTAGCCAAGTGCCAAATTAGTACAATAGTAGTCGTTACCCATAGCTTCATGCAATATTAAATTTAAAAATATACAATACTACTTGTACTACTATACTATTGTAAGGCTAATGGAATGGCAATTCCGACAAACGTAATTATTGCCTAACATTAACCACAGTACCCCATTAAAATTTCTTTAAAGAGGACTCCAGTTGATGACAAACAAATTTTTTATTAGTTTATTACAACTACAAATGTAGAAGTTATAACTTGGTAACTTACCAAAAAAGACAATTAATTGCAATCAAAGCAACAGCGCTTACATAAGGCCTCTCCCATATCAGAAGATTCTGAAGAGAATATACATCTATTTCAAGTAAGCTAAGTCTATTCAAAAAATTACAAACTATACCTTTTATGCTTTTCATTTTTAACTATAATTTTATCCAAACGACTTGCAAAAATCACAAGTTTCTATCACAGCTACTTCCTTTCCATCTGACACCGTATCTTCCTCCCATTGTTAGTTCACTATCATGGATTCATGGTCGGTTTGTTTTGGTGGTGAAATGACGTCATAATTACCAGCATTACCACGTGACCAAATGTAGGCAACATTGCGTTTGTTAGTATTAAACAAATAATTTGGTATTAAAATAGTAACCTTTCCGCATTTTTTGTTAAGAATGTCTTACTTTGTAGTAATAATAATTAGTGGAGGTGAAAATATTGCCGATGTAAATTGTAATTTAGAAAATCATAAAAATATGCTCTATAACAATACAAATGTTGTTGATTTTTCTCAAGGTACGTACAATAAGTTATATTCTACTTACAACCCTCAAATTTAATACTTAGCCGAATGAAAAGGCAAACTAATGTTCTCATAATTATATTGTTTATCAAAATATTAATTAATGTTTCCTTCAGAGTAGTTGAGTGAATACGTTTTTGTTCTAATGATACAAAAAAATAGAAGAAATGAGGCAATGGAGTAAAATTCCTCGTATAAAACTTTTCCAATTATGTATAACTGAAAAATTATTCAAATACTAAAAATAAAAGTATTTATTCATGTTACATCATTTTCCCTTGTACTTCTCGTGACGCAAACGTACTTTCATTTGAGATCTACAACTGAAACAGCGGGAGGAGACACTGGGTTATTTTTAACACATTTGTCCTTCACTCGGTACAGCAAAATGTTAAAAAAAGAAAAACAAAACTTTCTATGTACAGGATTCACAAAAAAAAAAACGAGTGATTTATCAAATTTAAAATTACCTTCTTTATAAAAGTTTTCAGATGCCTAAGAACACTAGAATTCGATGGAATTAACCTAGAATTTAATAAATATATATATATTACAGTAATCAAACAACTGAATAAAGCATCTCAAAAAATATAATTTTAAAACCGTAAACACAAATGTTTTTATTGCTTTAATTGAATCACATACAAAATATTTTATAAATTGTTTTTTGTTTTTGTTTTTTTATTCCTTCAGTACAAAAACAATGCTACCAATACCGTCTCATATACTGGCAAGTTTTGTTTATTTTCCTCAAGGAAAGTACAACAACTTTTGTTTTAACTAACGTCCATAAAGGTGAGTATTTGGCTGAATGAAAACTTAAAGGTGAATATCGATTGAATGAAAAGGCAACATTATATAAATCTTAAATTTAAATAGGGTCACTGGAAATATAAAATTTTACTTGGTGTTTATTACGTATATATAGTCGAAGTGTTTGTTTGTTATTAAGAACAAAGCAACACAATGGGCTGTCGGTGCTCTGCCCACCATGAGTATCGAAACCCGAATTTTTGCATTATAAACTTTTAAACCTCAACGATGTCAGAAAAACACGTAGGTTCAATAAGTCTTAGCTGTTTGCCCCTGAAGAAGAAAGGTCCACCTTTCGAAAGCACTCGGATTATAGGGTTTTATCATTTTGTATCAAGCCTTTAGACTTATCGCTGAGCCACTGTGGAGGATAGCCGTACTTTTAAAGATCATATTATTGTAAATATCAAATACCCATGATAAAATAATTATCACGTTGTTAACTGATAGATTATCATTTTCATACATTCACAATAAAGTTTGTTTTTAGATCGTTGTCGCTACATGCAAAATGGTTTTAAACAATTTGTTGTATATTTGTCAAAGAGATGATAATTTCAATATCTTTACAACTAGGCATTAAAGTTTGAATAGAATATTATAAATATGAGAAATTTAATTAAATTTTTTATACATTCCGTATAAATCTTTAAATTCGTCATCTTTCGCCGCATACTGAGTTAAACAACCTGTACTAAGGTTTCTATAGTATCAAAAGTATGCAGAGTTTATTAACCTAACGTCTTAAGGATGACTCACTGCAAATGGCTCAGTGGGCACAAGTATATTTGTTTGTTGAATTTCGCACAAAGTTACTCGAGGTCTATGCGCACTAGCAGTCCCTAATTGGGCTACTCTTTTACCAACGAAAAGTGGGATTCACCGTCACCTTTTTACGCCTTCATGCCTGAAAGGGTGAGCATGTTTGGTGACAGGATTCGAACCCATTACCCGCAGATTACGAGTGAAGCATTCTTTTTATACCACCAGCCCATACCACGCCAGTGAGCACAAATTTCGAGGTTTTCATTTTCAAGATATAGATATGAACAGACTTATTCTGTTCTCTCAGATAAAGTTCTCTGGTACGAGAATAAACATGTATCATTAATTTTGTAAACTCTCCGTCCTTCCTTTAGACCAAAATAACTATAATGACGGGACGAGAAAATAAAGAGCATTCAACAATGTCTTTCACTTATTTCATTTTTACATGAGATAGGTAACTAAGCAGTGGTGATGTCCAAGAGACAGAATATGTATAAGTAATGTATTCATGTCGCTTAGGGTGCATTAGAACACAAGTCCATGTTATCTTTGGTAATGCCACTCAGCTCATAACGACAGCATTGGGAAGACTTTTCATGTTATCGTCATGTTGATAATGGTATGTATGCATATTCACAATATTAAGACACAAAACTTTTGATATTCTACACTGGAAATAACCCGTTTATTTTGCCGGTTAATAAGCAAAACCCAATCTTTTTTCTTGTTAAATACTTATCATTGGTGAAAATTATCTTAAATATAAAATATTGCGGTGTAAAGAAAAATATTACGCAGTAATCAATCACTGTTCTAAAGTATCACGGTTTAAAAAAAACTGTATTGATATCATTAACCCCCTCCCCCAGTGGCACAGCGGTATCTCTGCGGACTTACCCGCTAAAAACCTGGTTTCGATACCCGTGGTGGGCAGAGCACAGATAGCCCATTGTGCAGCTGTGTGCTTAATTATAAACAACCAACAAACCAATATCATTGAAAATTTTGAAGTAAACCGCATTAGAGATATGGGTTATTGGACATGAAATGATTAAACATTTTTGTTTAAAGTTCTATAGAACGATTGTACTCGCTGTATTGTACTTCACTAGAAATCAAATTAACAAATCATTGTTTTAAGTTTCATCTCTATGAATAAGTTTTATAGGCTTATTATTCTAAGCAGCATGCGTAAAAACAAATTCATTACACTAAATTATAAGAAACTCACCTAAAATTTCTTCAAACAAAAGGCAATAACTTAATAAAAAAAAGCGTATAATAAAACCGACCACAAAATTTAAAAGGGTTAAGCAAGCAGGCGAAAATAAAATTAAAAACACGTCTTGTTACCTCCATTTAGCTGTTTTAATGAAAACAATATTTTGTTATTATTTTTGTTTTTTCTTTGTTCTACTACAGGGATCGAACTTAAATTTAAGCATTACAAACCCTCAAGCTCACCACTGAGCCACTGTGTAGTATTCTATTATTAACTTAAGGTACATTTTTTAGTTGCTTTAATCCTAAAGCATCATATGGAACAGCGTATAAAGTGAAACCAAGATTTCAGCTAAAAATTAATACTGGTAATCATTTGACTTACTTTGAAATCTATCATTATAAATGTTATAACGTTCAGAAAATGTGCTACAATCGTTATTATACGTTGTGTGTGATTTATTATGAACTCTATGACTTCAAGTGCAACAAAGAGAGTTTACACCCTTGTAGTGATATAAGGAACTGTAATTTCATGGGAGCCAGCAATAGTGATAATAACTAACGTTAATGAAGAAATAGAAACAGTCCAACAAAAGAACAACGTCACAACATACGTTAGAATGATGTCGATCAGACAATACAGTTCACTTCTTATTATAAGAATGTTTACAGACACAAGAGCCCTTCACTTTTATACACTTAGGATACAAGTGCATATTCTTTTAATGTTACATACTGTTACGTTTCCGTTTGTTAATTAACTTTCCGTAACTTCGTTCCGATAAAACTTTAGCGACACAAGTTCTTTACTTAATAAAACTGGTTTATTCTTTCCGAATATAACTCTGCGATACACTTAATCTCAATACTCGCGCTAAAACAACACTGTAACGAACGAACGTTAACTTCAACAATACCCTGTGACTGCAGTTCAATTACTCACTATCCACTCACACGCATTACCTTCTTCTCGCGTCACGTTGTCCCCTCTTATATATACCCGCCTACTCTATCTAGTAAATACTAGAGCATTCGTGAAAAAACAAGATAGTTCTAGAAAATAGAGGGCGCCACACCAGTCACGTGACCTCGATGACGCAACAATACCTTTTATTTTTAAGCTAAGTTACCATAAATGATATTTATTATAGTAATTTGCGGCACCTGGATCTTAAAGACAGATTTACCCTCTCTCTCTCTCTAACGCTAACTGTAATGTAATCACCTTGCAGTACAGCTTGGCACCCTTGGTGTGAATACTTATAAATTAATGATAGACCCCCCCCTTCTCATCCCGTTAATTTTACATCACAACTTATTACGCTTAATTGACACATTCTATTTCACTCTACGTATTAAATCTACACAAGTTATATTGATAAATAACTGCAGATTTTTTTCACAGCCAAGCATATTACCCAATAAGTTTCTCGGCCAATTTATTATTGCAAAACATGTTCTAATTCCCGACTAATGATTGATTAGACGGTATATATTTTGTTTAATACATTTATTTTAAAGAATAAATTCAAAATGAATTTTAATAGAACTAAATACATGGATGTTTATTTTTTATAAACAGCCAAATGTATTGTTATTTTTCTTGTATTATGACATGTTTAATAATGTTATCTTTAGTGATGGTGCAAAACCACGATAATCGAAAAAGAGAGGAGTGTAATTGGCTCTTGTTTTAGTTGATTTGTGATAATTTGTTTGTTTTTGAATTTCGCGCAAAGCTACACGAGGGCTATCTGCGCTAGCCGTCCCTAATTTAGCAGTGTAAGACTAGAGGGAAGGCAGCTAGTCATCACCACCCACCGCCAACTCTTGGGCTACTCTTTTACCAACGAATAGTGGAATTGACCGTCACATTATAACGCCCCCACGGCTGAAAGGGCGAGCATGTTTGGTGTGACGGGGATT